ATCAGAGAGAACGCAAGCCGAGCTTGTCAGTTTTGGCTGCCGGATGTTTTGTGTCTGGCGTTTGGGGGAGCGCAGATGAAGCGGGGGCGGGGGCAGGACCTCCACACACGCACTTCAGACTGCAGAGGGGCCTGCAGGCCGTCCCTTTGGCTGCCCATTGCATCAGCTTCATCCCTTTGGCTTCATTGCATCACAGGATCAATCCTGACAGCCAATGATTTCCCCCTTAAATCTTTTGAATGGCACATTACTTTTATATTAGAAAAAAAAAGTCTTAAGTTCAGTGTTTTGTTGACCTCCTCTCACTTCTGTCGAAAGTTGCTCCCGAGCTCAGCGACTCCCAAACCTCATCGTTCGGGTTTTTCGGCAAGCCGATATGTAAGTGATGAGCAGTGAGTAATTACCTACGCAGGCACAGTGCCCCTTGGGACTTGAACCAAGTACTCCCCAGGGACTGTCTAGTCGAAGAACTGTAACCCCTACATGTCGGATGCTGACTGGGTCAGACCCCATGCCTGACAGGTCCCTGGCAGACGGCGGTCCTGGATCCAGCGGTATACAGGCGTATCTACGGGAGGTTGCAGAGGACTTTGACTTTGAGGCATGCGCGACGTTGCTGATGCAACCGCTTCTGGGTCACCCTAAAACGACCTTAAGTGCCAGACACTCAAACTTTTCCCTTTATTCAGAACTACGTAACTTCAAACCAGGTAGAAACAAAAGGTGAACACCTCTGATTGCATATTCAGACATTTTAGTCCAGTGACATATGCGTGAGGAAAGATTGGGGCCAGAGAGCAGGGCTGACCGGTGCCCCTGGGGCAGTTGGGGTTAAGGGCCTGACTGTCATACAATTATTCTCCCAGCCATGGGATCTGAACCCATGACCTTCCAGGCAGACTCAAATGCCTAACCCAGTGAGCTACATCCGGCTCTCGTCCTACGACCGAGAATAAGAGTGGGAGTGCCATAATTCGTAGGCCTTCTGAGAAGCTTTCTGATCTACCTAAGCTAGTGAGGCACATATGATGCTTTAAATATTGATCAGTACGGCTGGAGTAGATGGTAGCCTGGGGCAACGGATGTTGAATAGAGCTCCTAATGAACTTTTACTTTTCATTAGATATACTCTAAGAAAAGCTTTACTGAAACAATACAGTGAGACGGGTGTGTAGACACAGCATATAGAGATGACCCCCGCCTTTGTGCGTGTGGAGTTTGCGTGTTATGTTCTTCTTGTGTTTTCGTGTGAGATTCGTGCAATACAATTGTCCTTTGTACATTTGCACTTCCTGGCATGGACTCCAGGCTCTCAGCTAAACTGAATACACTGTAGACGGATGGATGGATGAATGGATGGATGGACGGATAGAAATACTTGACATATTTATCTGAAGAGAGCCGAACAGCGAAAATCCAGCAAGCTGTCAGTAATGTGAGCCACCCTGGTGAAATTTTTGCTCCCAGGATTGTGAATTTGCATACAGACCCGATTAAACCACAGAACTTGCTGTTTAGATCGAGGATAATTACTTTGGGTTTTTCCTGCCGCGGCGAGTGTTTAATTCTTTACCGATTTAATTTAAACGTGCCTCTCACCAATCTCATTAGCGCTCGGTTCGGTGTGGCCCTGTTTAAAATATTAAATTCCTTTCTCCGGTGCAGACCGAGTTCACAGTGTGAGGCTATCAGGATGACAAGGAGTCCCACATTAATATCTTAAGGTTGATTTTCCGTTGTTGGGTTCCTGTAAATGCGCTTATCAGATGCTGCCCCAGGCATCATTCGCATATTCAAATGAACGGCGTAAACAAATTAGCATTATAAACAACAAGGACTCCCCATCGAGTTAGTAAATCTGGCTGGTTTTTGTCCCTCCTCCCTAGGGTACCTCGTTAATGAAGTCGCCGATGTCTCCAGGGTGGGGTGCCACGGACCGAACAGGGTACTGTGGCTCGGGGTGCAGCGGCCTCTCGTCAAGACGCCGGATGCCGACGGGTTTGATGGTGTCGGGTTCCATCGTGTCCGGCTGCTGGAGTTGACTCAGGTCGTAATCCTGTTAATCACATGGGAGTTGTAAGGCCGAGTTGGGGCGAGAGCGGTTCCAGACCCATTCAAATCATAATCACTGAGTTATGATGAATGCTTGCGAGATGATGAGACAAGGAGGAATTGATTAATTTTAATCCCGGGCTGCGTGTTCATTTTACCTTCAATTTTTGCACAATCCTAACATGTGACATTAATGGAAGCATATTCTTTAAGACCCTTCAATTCCTAATGTCCATTTACGTTCGAGTTCAATAGTCCGCGTCGTCTGAATTACGCCGGCGGTGAGATATACCCCGGGATGAGCTGTAAACACGGCGGGCACTTGAAAAAGCTTGACTGCAGATTCAAATCAGTCGCAATTTTGGAAGAAAAATGCGCACACTGCAGCCTCAGTTCCCCGAGGGTAACGGCTGCTCCCAGTGATGTATTGCTATTTTTTATGAGACCCCTAGTAATCTATCACCCCCCTACCCCCCCAACACTATGCACACAAAGCAGGACTGAGTCGACTTTCCTCTTAGCTGTGCTGTGTCCCATTTGCCCCCAGGGCAAGTTAATGGATGCCAGAAAGCATGTGTCCTTCTTAACTGGGAGCTGAAAAAGTCTTTTTTTTTTTTTCCATGCGGCTTTAGTGTGGGGGTCAGGGTTTTCCGGAACGGGATGGTTTTCCTTTGCAACCCCCCACCCCCACCCCAGTTCCGCATTTGGAACCATTGAGTGGAAACTGAACTGATCCGGTCGAAGCTTCCGGACTCCTAACCCTGCCGGCTCCAAACAGCCACAATGAAACACCACCTCTTCTGTCTTGCCTTTTCTGTATTGAACGTTTCCGCTAAGAAACCACCCCCCCCCCCCCTTTATACCGCCGAGGCACAGAACCCTCAGTCCACTAATCAGAAGGACACATAGGGACAGTCATAACTTAACAGATGATCCATAAGAAGCTTGTTTGGTTTTCATCTGCCGTTCAGTTTTCTCGCGGTTCCCTTACCACTAGATGAACATGGCACGGCGTCGGCCCAGCCCTACTCGTTGTGCCGAGTTTTCCCAGCACAGAGATCGGTGAGGACTGTCAGCGGCATTTACGTTTATTTCTGTGCCGCCTATCACATGGGCCTGGTGGGAATTGTCCCTCACCAAGGTGATGTGGCACCTCTCACAGTGACGGAGATACGCACTTTGGTGCATTGTTCCTATGTTTGCCTTCTAGTCACTCCCAGATCACGGGTTTTATATTTCAGCATGGGCAGAAACGTCCAGTTATTTACGCTAAACGAACACAGCGCTTTAGGGAGTCTGACCAGGCGATGCGTCTCCGGACGAGGCCGCCAGCTGAGGGGAAATGAACGAGTGCGTTGGATCAGTATGACATTTTAATTTCCCTCACAGTAGGGGGGGTGGAAGGGCAGGTTCCTCGCCTGCCACGCGGCTCCCCAGCTGCGATTATTTGCACAGACGCCGACATCGGAACCAGGATTGCCGACACACTGCGGACACCCGTCATCCTCCCCCAGCGTCTTTTACAGCTTCACTGCGACTCCATTTCAGGTCACCGTGGCAGCGCAGGAGCCTTCCGCCTCGGGGAAGAGAGCACGGGGGCCCGTCTCATTACATCCCAGTGGACTTCTGTCTGAACCAGGCCGTGTCAGTGACGGTTCTGCGCTCTGTTTCCTGCTCCGGGGGCCGGCCTACCTGGTCCTCTTCGCCACCTCCCTCCTCGTCGTACTTCAAGATGTTGTCCCGGACGTCGTCCTCAGGGTCGATGAGCAGCTGCTTGGCTTGCCGTTCCTTATCCCGCCGCTTCATCCACACCACGAACAAGAGAACCAGGACTGCAGTACACATGGTGAGGGTCAGAATGAGGACCAGAACAAGCATACAAGAGGTCAGCAAATGAATGGTAGGTCTTATTTCAGCCCTTATTGGCATTAAGATCCAACAGGTCTGGTTCAATCCGTACACTCCCTCATGAGTGGGCACAATCACAGTGGGGAAGGGCCAATGTGGGTGGGGCTTACTGAGCAGGATGATGATGCAGAGCAGGATGGCGATGATGGCACCGGTGCCCAGGCCTGCAGCCACAATGCGCTCCATGTCCACGCAGTCACCGTTGTGGTCACACTGGCACACCTTGACCCGCAGGTACGACGTGTTGACCATAGGCAGGTTCCCCGAGTCTGTGATAATGATGGGCACCTCGTAGATGCCACTCTCCAGGTAGCTGATTCTTAGGCTCAGCTGGGCGTAATTCCCTGAAACGGTGGGGAGGGGGGGGGGTGACCTTTTATCAATTCTGCACGCTCAAGTGATAACCCTGAAGAGACGGTCACCCTTCATCGCTAAACACTCGTACCCTTCAGACACACTGATTGGCACTAATTAAGCAGCATTGTCCTTTTCAAATAATGGGTCACCCTTTCTCTAGTACTGAACAAAAAAGCCCAAAATATCGACAGCAAAATACAAACTTGTGAAAGTGATTCTGTCACAAGGTAACACACCACTGAGGCGAGTGATGGTCCAATTCCTCCTCACGGTCGATGGCCGACTGCTCAACTCGAAGGCAAAGGGTCCTGCGTTGGGGTGGATGTCCCCGTCGATGGCAGTGATGTTAATCCCATTGGGCTCAGGCCTCTCACACATCTCCGCCTCACGGGGGAACACATGCGGCGCGTTATCATTGATGTCCAGCAGGAAGATCTGCAGTGTGCCTGTTCCGCTTGCCGGTGGGATGCCTGTGTCGAGGGAAGGGCCAGGAACCACATACTTAAGACGTGCTTCTGAGTATTAGACACATCATACCATGTTACCTTTATCTGAATATTCTCACAACATCAGTAAAAATGCTAAATATATTATCTGGGAGAACATTTGTCATAAACAAGAAGCACAGCACAGAAGGGGTCAATGGTCTCGCGCTTGAGGATTCAGACCATGGCTCCTGGGGATATTTCTCTCGAACGTCTGATCTCCAGAGAAAAACATCAGAACTGCTAAAAAACAATATTCCGACAGACTACAGGACAGTCTTCCTCCAGTGACTGCTCAACAGCGTAGAGGAGAGTTCAATACATCACTGAACACAAAATGAAATCACCTGGCTGCAGAGCAGACCCTGAACTGCCCAATCAATCAAACCATTTTTATGGTCCTTTAGAAGAACACAGCTCATTAAACAACAAGGTGCAGACCTCCTCCCCTGCACCCCGCACCTCTTGAGCTATTTGTGCTTCCAGCTGGTGAAAACCATTCCACCCAGCTACTCCCTTAACCCTGATAATCATCAAGTCACCCACCTCTTCAAAAAACCAAACATCTGAAAATGGTCCTGATCAAATCACTCCTACCACTTTCAAGTACTGTGCAGATCAACTGTCTCTGGCTATATTTTCAATCAATTTCTGATCTTATGTACTCTCACGGCTTGTGTAAGGCACCCGCCATCATCCCTGTACTCAGATCACCAAAGATCACCGGCCTCAGTGACTACAGACCTCTCACGTTGACATCTCTAGATATGAAGACATTCAGACATCTAACTTACCACACTAAAGTAAAAAATGTAAGTCTCCTTGATGCCCTGCAGTTTTCATATAGAGCTAATAAGCCCCCTGCTCCAAGAAACACCAGGACTGTAGCTCCACAATCAACACCATCATTTCAAAGAAGCTAATAGCACAGCTGACCCAGCTAAACCTGCAGGGTTCCATCTGTTAGTGGATTACAGACTTTCTGACAGACAGGAAACAATGTATGCAGCTGGGCAAACACATGTCAAACCCCCCTGGTCCTCAGCACTGATGCTCTTCGGGGGGGGGGGGGGGGAAGAACAGACATCATCCTGGTGCCATCAAAATGATCAAATCTCGACTGTTGGAAGGCAACAGGCACCGTAGTTGACTTTCAGAGGCAGCCACTCTCTCCACTTCCTACTTGTCATTTTCCTACTAAAATGACTTAACAGTTGACATGATTGAGTCATTCCTGGGCACTGTCCTCTCCAAGAACCTCAAGCAGGGTGAGAACATCGCCAATATCATGAATCAGGGACAGCAGAAGATGTACTTCTTATGGCAGCTGAAGAAATGTATCCCTCCCCAAGCAGTACTAATCCAATAATACAGTGGGATCATTGAGTCCGTCCGCTCATCCTCAATCATTCCAGAGGGAAACTACAGCGTATTGTCTGGTCTGCAGAAAAGATTACTGGCTATAGCTTTCCTTCAATCCAGGAACTTTATGAATCCAGAGTAAGAGAGTGTGCTGGGAAAATCATAGCTGGTTTTTCTCACCCCGGACACCACCTACTCCAACAACTGCACTCTGGTAACTGCCCACAGACCACAAGAATGCAATCAACACAAACACGCTCATGGTGTACATATAATTAACCATAACTATCCTACACATAAATCATTGCTACTACTGTACATACAGACTTCTAGACACCCTCCTTCTCGTATCGCATTGTGCAATGTAGAAGAGTATGCTTTGACATACATTGGATTGAGCATTGCATAGTGCATTGTACCGTATTGCAACTATTTTGTTCTGTACATTTTATGTAACAATTCACCACGACAAATTCCTTGGACTTGTATTCCAGTTCTGATTCTTTGGGACTGGCTACATATAAAGAGCCACATGTAAAAGGAAGTTATTAAGAGCAATTATCATGGAAAGGTGCAATGCACTCAGGTCTAATCACAAACTGAGAGCCACGTCTCAGGGGAAGATCATCTATCTGGAGGTGTGTGATCCATCCGGATTGGACTATGCAGCAGGAATAACAAAAGTGATCCGAGAGTGGCAGGGGAACAGTTAGCCCTCTATGTATTCACGGGATGATTCAGTCAGCTTCTCAAATTAGTGGGCAGTCTTCCTATTCGAGCAGATTAATGAAAGTATCCAGCTCCCTGGAATCCTCACCTACAGTACTGCTTGAGTCTCAATGCCCCTTGAGAAGATGCACTTGTTCAGAGACAACTTCTCCAGCGCCAGGACCAATTAGCGGGTCATTAAGCCATCAAGGCGCCTAACGATCGGCACAACCTCGAGAGAGAAGTGCCGACTTACCGTTGTCTGAGGCAAGGAACGTGGCGTTGTATAAATTGTTCTGGACGTAGGGTGACTCTCTGTCTAGCAAAGCCATTGTGGAAATCTGGCCGTTCGCTGGGTCGATCCTCAGCCAGTTGGCCGGATCGTAAAGCTTAGAGTATCTGAGAACATAAACACCAAGAAGACAAAACTGAACAAACTTTATTCTGCCTTATTCGTGGAGTGATACTGGCACACTGTCTTGGCATTGGTGAGGATACAGGAACAGTCAAGTCATGAGTCAAGTAAAAATAAATGTAAGACTTCATTTCCTGCAAGATGTGAAATAGGTTTCAAGAAGCCGGGAGCATTAAAATGGCATAAAAATGGAACCTTATTGTCTGCTCCATGAAGCGATCGGGATCTTGGGCTGTGAAGACAGTTAGCATCGACTCGGCTGGCATGCCCTCCTCCAGCCTCATGAGCTTGGGGTTTGGCTCGAAGTAAGGGCTCTCGTTCACGTCAATGACCCTGATTGAGACAGTCGCCGTTGACTGCCGGGGGAGGTGAATGCCCTTGGCCAAGAACTCTTCGTTCTCTGCTATCACCGTTAGCACAAACGTCCGGCTGACCTCGTAGTCGATAGGCTGGGAAAGAAATGGATAATTGTCCATTGTTAAACCTTGAAAGGAGCAAGTGGGACCAAAGAGAACCTAAGAAATAATAGAATAGTGCCACTAGATTTGCCGAAGCTTGTTTTCTTTAAAAAAATAATGATCTTTCAATTGCATTTGCAGTGCCTGTAATCAAAAAACAGATTTGCTTCAGACAAATACTAAAAGAGGCCTTCTGTACATTTAAGAATTCAAACAGCAAGTCTTACCCACCAAGCCTTACCTTGACAACGGTAACCAGGCCCTTGTTAGACGCGGGATCTGTGCGGACTGTGAATCTGCCTGTAGGATCCCCGCCGATTATTTTATACACCGCATTCCAGGCTGGTGTGTTGGGCTGGTCTTTGTCAGTCACGCTTAAGTTGGCGACAACGATGTTTACCCTGTTCTCTGGAACCTCCCCGTAGAACTGCAAGGAGGATACGTGGTCCAAAAAATATGTCACAATCACACACACACACGAATCTAGAAGCTGCATTGCAGGTACATTCCTGGCACACTGGAGCTATATGTGAATATTATTGCACGCATGTTCCTTTAATAGATTGCTGGTATTAGGACAGTGTTTGCAGTTTTGTAGAACTACAAAATTCTCCTGGCGGCGTGACAAGTTGCTTTATTAAAATGTACAATGACACATTAATACAATACAGGAGCATTTCAATGCCTATATTAAGACAGAATTCATAGGCGATTATTACATATCTATAATGCATAATACCCCTTGCGTGGGTCGCCCCGCTTCCAGCCTGTCTGTCAAAGACTAGATCGCATAAAGGTGTGATTTTCTTAAAGGCCCCATGACCCATGTTCCCCAGAATGTCACATCAGTCCTCCAGTAGCCTTCTGCTCTCATTATCATATGCAAATAAGCAATGGGAAGCGTGAATATTCATGAGGCCCTCTCTCTGTTTCACTCACCGTGTAGGTGGTGAACTCTGGAGGGTTGTCATTGATGTCAGTCACGCGGATCAAGGCGGTTGCAGTGTTCGAGAGGCCGTACATTGCGTTTCCTTCCATGTCGGTGGCCTGGATGATTAGGGTGTACTGCGGCACTTTCTGCAAGAGTCCAGTGGAGGTGGGTAAGGATGGTGTTAGGCTGTAATGCCAGGCAGCCTAAGCTGAAATTAATATGCGTGAGAAGTCACCATTTTGCCACCGTTTAAGGGCCTAATCCTCACGTCTCCTCACTATTACTGTGCGCCCACCCAGTAGTAATACAGGAAAATAACTATAGCCACTATAGCTATCATTAATCTGCTTTATAAAACCAAGAAACAGGCGGGAGACGCAACTTTTCCCTTGGTTTAAGACCCTGAAAAGTACTGTGAGGTGCTGGATATTACAGATCCTTTCCCTTTTCAAAATCAGTGCTGGTTTTCGGGCTATTGAGAACGCAGGGCAAATTACAATCACACCATTAGCATTTCTCAATACCACCGAATGTACGTAGCCGAAAGCCCGGCGGTGTCGCCTCAATGGACACTAATCAAACTGCCAAATAGACAGAGTTCGGCCTTTTTTCCAAATTCCAGTCAGCGAGGTAGAACAATTAAAGAACTGCACCATTTGTATTACAATTGTAAAGTCGGAGTTTAATCAAGCACACACATCAGGTATAAAACTAAATAAATACCCATTGGTCAATAGCTTCCCCTAATTATCACTATTAATCAAAATGAGGAACATATAATTTAGTTCTAGAGCTGAATGGATAAGAGGAAAATGGAGACCATTTTATTTAATTTCAAATTATTTTGACATTTGCAAAGCATTTGATTCAATCGTAGACCAAAGATGTAGACTCCTTCATCTCAGACACTCACCTCACGGTCCAGACCGGCGGCCATGGTGATGATGCCCCCAGTTTGGTTGTTTATGGTGAACATATTGTTGGAGGGGGTGTCTGGACTCTGGGCCAGGATCTTGTACCGTAGCATCCCGTTGACTGTCTTGGGGTCATCCTTGTCAATGGAGGTAACTGTCATCACATAGGTGCCTAAGAGCCCAAGCAAAGATCACGACGGTAAGAGTCTATCACGCAACTGAGCGATTTCAGAAAAACAAGATCATGTTTTTGTTGGTTCAAAAAAATAGACTCTACGATAGCTAGACAGCATTTCCTGGAAATCCTAAGACAGTTAATCAAGAAAATGGATGCCTTGCATCGTAAAATCACAGAGATTAACTAACTATGAACGATTGCCCTGATGATGTCATGAGCCTGCCCTTTTTACGACACGATTAGTCCATTACCAGGCTTGGAACCTTCTGGCACAGTCCCGTTCCAGATCTGGTGCACAAACTCGGGCCGGTTGTCGTTAATGTCGATCACATTGATGGAGATGTCAATGGGGTTCTCCACTTGGTTCCCGTTGAGGTCCACAGCATGGGCTCTCAGCTGCAGGGAATATCGGACGTCAGCTGACAGGATCCACGCTCACTCTGCAGCAGAGCTGAGCAGATAACTCTGGCGTTTTCTCCTACCATGGCTCACAAAGCTTTTTAACGCCAAAGAAACTCGCTTTAGTCCGGCTTCATCTCCCGCCTTGATACGAGACGCTTTTTCTAAGCACTTCATACTGCTCGTTAACGCAACAGATTTTCAGTTAACCGATGTTCCCCAGAGCCTGTGCTTAGCAACAATTCAACGTTCTTCAATCAATCTTTCGCATTGTGCAGCGCACTCTGGAATGTGTGGCATGGTTACTGCTTTAAACAAAGCATTAATGAATAAATATCTGTAGACTGAATAAAGATGTAGCTCAACATCCCTCTCCCCAACAAAGAAGCTATATTTTAAGTCTGCCCATACTGTGAACACAGACAAGTCAGGGTAATGTGGTATCTTCCCACTTATTTCCAATATCATGGTTTGGATTTGGACTGAACTATTCCCTGTACTAATTGTACAGGGGATAAATACATGTCCAAAAGGAGAGATGTACTCGTCTTACGTGGAAGCTGGCTATCTGCTCCCGGTCCAGAGGCTTCGTCACAGAAAGCTCCCCTGAAATGGGGTTGATTATGAAGATTCCAGTTGGGGGTTGATCCGCACCGGGGCCGGTGACACTGTATCGGAGCGACCGATTCTTGTCGTGATCAGACCGGATCTGGGGATGTGAAAAGTGGGATGTGAGAGTGGGATGTGTAATAGATGGTGAACAGGAGGGTCCATCAATTACCTTGTTACACTCATAGGAATATAATGTTGTAAGAGTGATTAAAACTTAATTAAAACTGATTAGCAGAGACCAATCAAATCAGCAGTCCCATGGGTTCCAATCTGTTCCAAAAACCCATCTTCTATATAGAAAAAGGGTTAGTCTGAGCCATCAGTCTATCCTCTTTTTCTCCTTCTTAATGCGGAAAACACCCCCCTGCCAGCATGTCAGCAGATCCATAAACCAAAACACTGTCAGCCCCTAATTCTGAGGATTAGGTATCATGCAGACAGCCTGGATGCACTCGGGTTAGGACACATGGTGTAATGGGACTGATTTTATTCAAGATGTGACTTTATGGTCCTAGACGACACTGATTTGTTTGACTTTTTTTGGTCACCTGCTTTACACGGATGGGTGTACAGGAAATCGAGGGGACGAGACGAGCGAACTGTCACTCATATGTGTGGGAGTGAGGAACTTGGGATTTCATGAAGACGATATATTCCAGGGTTCTGAGGAGGCATAAGGACTCCGGGTGAGGGAGGGCGGGAGGGCAGTCTTACCCTAACAAGCTCGGACGGGAAAGGTCCCCTGGAGCTCTCCGGCACGTTGATGGAAGGGATGACCCAGTCCCTCTTCCTGCGCTTCAGGCCCCCGCTGCCGTCCACGTGCCCCAGCGGGAACACGATCTCCCGGATCGGCGGAGGTGCACCTGTGTCCTGCGTCTCCTTCACCTGCTGGGGTGAGCCCGTCATTTTCACACGTCCGGGACAGTGCGGCGTTCCAGCATCCGTAGCCGCACGATGGAAGAGGATCTTTATTTACATCTAATTATGTATCGCTCATTTATCAAAAAAGCGCGACAGCAGACGCGCCGAAGCCAGGAAGCTGGGATGTCACTTCAAGGATCTCTCACTCCTCGCCCGCTCCTGAAGGCTGTCTGCTCCCGTATCAGCGGCCATATGGACTACGCTGTCATAGGTGCGTTTTTCTCTCTTTTTAATTTTTTTTTCCACCCCGTCGGTTGATCTGTTTGGTATGCCGTTGCCACGACAACCGGGCCGCTCAGAAACACCCCCGCAGCCTGAAGAAGCGCTCGTGGTTAGTCCTTGATCTAACTTCCTCCCGTCACGCCGGGCGCACTCGACATCTCGATAGAACCCTCTGCCCTCCATTAACTCTGGATCAAACCTTAAACAATCAGAAGTTGCACCCACAAGCCAAACATATCCAATCCATCCAGTTCAATGTTTTAATTTTTTATTTACCGTTGAGCAATAAAAAAAACATGGCATAAGAGCATTAATAATTAGCAAATTATTGAGAATTATGAGGGTCTTTTTTAAGCCTTGATGTATGCCATCACTCTGGGTGCACCGACACTGTTACGCTCTGCGGTCAGCACCTCTATGTGAGAGCATTAAGATCCACTTAATGTGGAATTGCAGTTAGTGATCTGTGGGCTGTCAGCGTGGCTCTGTGTGGGCCGTCTCAGTACTCAGCCAATGAGAGGTCACGCGAAGGCACGGATTCATCGGCACACCCTCTGCTGTGGCCATCATATGCAAATGAGCGAGCCAGCTCATGGATATTCATAAGCCGTTCTCTCTTACCATGGTGGATGACGGGAGGTCGGCGTCTGTCACCTGGATCATTGCTGTGGCCGTGTTCGAGAGACCGTGTAACACATGGCCATCCATATCGGTGGCCTGGATGATCAAGGTGTACTCCGGAACTTTCTGGAAAAGAGGAGGTGAAGCAAATACGTTTCAATGCAAAGGATTGTGGGTACAGGACAGACACCACTTTATCTTCAGTTTTCCTGTATACTATAGAGGCACCATTTACACATATACTACAGGGTGGTACAAGGTTAGCACTAATCTCTCTTTTATTCAGTATCCTAAGAAACGGCGAGGAACCTTGACATTACAATCCGCTCCTGTATTCTGAAACCCAGTCAGGAAGTGCATGCTAACTGCTATAAAATGTAGTAAGTTGATAAACAAGGGAATTGTTTTCGTGGTCACAGAGCTCTCTGGTACTACCAAATATAAGTAACTGACGTCCAGGCGTTTATCTCCACTGAAAAGGAACAAATTAAATTGCCCTCGCCAAAAACACAGAGCTTTCCCCTTTTCTTTTAAATTCCGGTGAGCGACTCAGAACAATTAAAGGCACACTGTACCATTTTTAGCTCAGATGCATCATGGGAGTTTAATCAAGCATACGCTTCCAAGTCCTAAACTAAATAAATATGTGTAGGTCAATTGCTTTGCTTGATTATAGGTATTAATCAGGAATGAGAACGGCTCATTTACTCCTAGAAGCATATGAATACCGAGAGAATAAAGAACACTGTTCATTATTTCAGATAACATTTCTCCATCCTCCTGAGTAAATGGCAGACTATAGGTGTTCCGATCCCTAACGGTATTCCCACCTGACAAACACGAGCAAAGTCAAACGGGAGGGAAGCGGGAGACATTTTCCCCCTTGTTCGCTTCCGTCTGCCGCTCCGACAGCTCACTGAACCCCTCCAGGGATTTACAGAAGGGCTGGAGTCAGAGTTCATTACGTCTCAGCTCAGGTTGTCTTACCTCTCGGTCCAGGCTGCCGACCATGGTGGCAATGCTCCCGCTCTCGCTGTTTATGGAGAAGATGCCGTCGGTGGGAATCTTCGGACTCTGAGCCACGATCCTGTACTGTACTGCCCCGTTGGAGGTTCTGCTGTCATCCTTGTCGGTGGCGGTGATGGTCATTACATGGGTGCCTAAGAGTGAAACCAACATGCGTTGTATCACTAAAACAAGGTAGACCCCATTTCCTTAAAAGGTAACAAAAACAAAGCTGAAATAGTTGCTGACGAATTAGCTATGCGCAATCAATTAATCCGATGACATTCTGAGCACCTCACTGGCACCTTACCAGGCTTGGAACCATCTTGGACTCTCCCGTTCCAGATCTGGTGCACGAACTGGGGCCGGTTGTCATTTTGGTCGATCACATTGATGTAGATGTCAATGGAGTTCTCCAACTGGTTCCCAAACTGGTCGAGTGCGTGAGCTCTCAGCTGCAGGAAATACAGAGCGTCAACACTAGGGACTTCAGCGCTAAATTTGATTGCAATCGGCAAATAGTCCCCAGACCCATGAATAGTGGACAGGTGCATATCCTCAACAATAACGTGTTGTAAATTCAGGATTTGGCTTCAAAAGCATACGTAAAAAATCCAGACATCTGTTGCATCCTTCAGAGGGCTTTACTAAACAAACATCGACCAACCCAAGTTTATGTCAGAAAGGATTAAATTCTTTTGGGTTTAAATCAGGGTGAGTTGACCACATCTCTGTAGCTTTAAGTTACCATATCAAGCCATAAAACACAAAAGAATACGTCTAAAGCCAAAAAACCTGGAGTAATTTGCCCCATCTCACTTAACATAAACATTATGGGATGGATTTAAGTCAAGTGTATCCAGAGTCCCTGATTTGAAGGAATGTTCACTTTGTAAGACAGATTCTGAAAATGATTCTGGTATAAGGACCATCAGCTGAGCTGGACAAAGATGGCTGACTGTCTCACCTGAAAGCTAGGTCTCTGCTCCCTGTCCAGAGACTTCATCACGGACAGCTCCCCTGAGACTGGATCCATGATGAATATCCCAGCTGGGGGCTCATCTGCACCAGGGCCTGTTATTCTGTATCGGACAACGTGCTTCATCTGAAGGTCGGACGTGACCTGATAGAGAAAGAGGTGGGCAACAAAGACGAATGGGCGGGGATGTGAGGAAATGGGGCGTGGTCATAAATAGAGGGGCGGGGCATGTTGGGGATGGCGAATGGGAGAATCAAATACCTCATTACAGTCACAGATATATAAAATTATAAGAGATTAAGGCAACAAATTAAAGTAAATTAGCAGTGATCAATCAACTTAACGATCCTAAAGAGTCCTATATATTACACAAGTTTAATTGGTTTAGAAAAGTTTCTTTTTCTCCATACTGGAAATATCATCTTTGAGTGTACAGAGTATGTACAGTCAGAGCACTGTCAGTTCCTAATTCTGTGAATTAAACAGTTTATACATAACCTGGATGCACATGTGGATTCGGGACATTCTTACCCTAACAAGCTTGGATGGGAAAGGCCCCCTGGAGTTCTCTACCACGTTGATGGGGGGGATGACCCAGTCCCTCTTGCTGCGTTCCAGGCCCGCGCTGCCGTCCCCGTGCCCCAGCGGGAACGTGATCTCCTGGATCGGCGCAGGTGCACCAGTGTCCTGCGTCTCCTTCACCTGCTGGAATTACAAACCCTCCATTGTGCATTAACTGATGCAATAAATCCCAGAATTCCTCACACCTCCAGCATCTTTTCAGACCGCGACGGCAATTACACAGACACTGTGGGATTATTAACTGGAATAATGTGCAGGACTTCATTTATTAACATATTCTGTTGTGACAACGATGAAGATACACTGGTTATATTTGAGGAAATTTGCCTGGAATCTTCAAAATTCTCATGTGTCCTGGGCCTACTGCCTGTGCCGATTACAGCCTCAAATATGTTGAATGATGCCAAACGTGCGAAACAACAGGAAAGAACAGCATAGCCAAGAAGCTCAGCCCAAGCCTCGAGAAAGTGCACCAGTAGGAGATGTGATGAAAAACAACTGTATCCCAACCTCGGGAACGGCCAAACCCAGCGGCTCGTTAATGGGAAATGCGTTTGATGTGGTTTAGCACAGTTCAGCATAGCGAGGCAGCCTCAAAGTGACTGTGTGCTTGGCTCGAGCCTGGTGATAGAGATGATTAATGACGTGCTTGGCCAGTGGGATGGTGTGGACATCCATCTCAGGGGGGGGGGGGGGGTTTGGGTGACCGCTGACGTTCAACTCCATCTTTTCTCCTTGGGATTTGTGTACGACATACTTGTTCAGGACCACCCGCTCGCTTATCCCATTTCCCCGAGAGACGGCTCCCAAAAGGCTGTCTTTGATGGCAGCACGGTGTCCATCCATTAGCGCCGATTCTCTTCTTCTTTTCTTCAGAATTAAACATCTTTTGATAGTCTGGCGCCGGCTATAGGTCACAAGCTCATCAGACCACAGATGAGTGAAGTAGTTCTTAATGCAGTAGCCCCTCCCGTCTACATTCTGGACTGGAGCCTTAGGTCTAGTCCCAGATGAACTTCAGAGCTTCTTTCATGCTGGTGACTGGGGTGTGACACTCGCGTCCGGCATGGCGATTGGCATCTGCCTGGGTCTCCTGAGCACAAAGCATGGAGGACACGAGTAGGGTTCCTTTAAGGGGCCTGTGATCTTCTCCCATGACGTCTTCGTTCCACCAAGCTCCACCAAGACCGTCATCACTCTAAGTCAGATGAAACTAAAGCTTTATTTGTCCTAGCGAAAAATATGCGCTATTTGCTCTCTATTAAATATTCATTAGGTCAATCTGTAAGGTTTTAATTTATTAGTGAATGCAGAAAAATGGTTCTCCCTGCTCACTGTTCTGCTCTTAGGAAGGATGTTTCATGGATGGATGGATGGATGGTGCCAGTCTAATAAATGTCAGTAAAGAGGACATTTCCTCATTAATCAGCATCATGTAATAGCGTGAGGTAGCGCTAATGCGGTGTTTGGTAACATGGCACTGAGATGCCGATTTAACTAACTACCCACGCAGTTGCCCGCCTATCCACGCTGGGTAAACAGTGCATTAAACTCCAGTGAACTCCGCCCACATGCATCAGTAGCAGTCCGCTGTTCACGACACCACATCAGCCCAGCCTCTATGGAGCTCATATGCTATAGGCCGACAGACACGTGTGAAAACACACAGTGATCCTGGGGGACGTTCCTTGATTACGCTTGACTGACGGACGACACGTACACTGTACCTCAGTGGCTCATTGTCAGCTGGGTGACCAAACTGAACAGAATCACAGCGGCACCATGTGTCTATGGCCAGAGGCAGTTATCTGACAAACCCTATTTACACTCCTGTTTTTTTCTTACCGTTGGGAGAGGTGGGAATTCCTACCAAATAACAACAATATACAGAAACCTAATAATGTATTTACTAAAAACATTTGCAGCTTATAAATATAAAAACTATACAGATCCTGGAAGATAATTCTCATTGAGTCCATTAAAATTCAAGGTGAACAAAGTTCTCGCAATGGATACTTGGATAGTTCTCCCCTAACCTCCAACCTTTGCTTTCTGGAGTCTTCAGGCATGCGTAATTGTGTGAAATCCTCCCAGCTGTTGTGTCCCCAGAAGGGCATTTAATCGGAACCAATCTAATTAAACGCCCAACTGAACTTACAGGTCAAATCTTAAGTCACCTGAACAAACAAATATGACGTAAAGAACGAAGAAACCTGAGAGCGCATGTTCAGTCAACTCTCCAGTATCCTCATGGACTGGTAACTAGCAAGTATAAGCCCAACATGCTAATGTTTCAAACAAGCCACAGGTCAGACCTCTCACGCTTCCTCCGCTGGTTTCGCTAAATTTACTGTCATATTGCATACCGTTGAATTCACCAGTCTATGTCTTCTCATAGAGTCGCTATAATTCCGATGACAAATTGTTTCTAAATTCCCCTCGACTAATAACCGCTGCAGCTGTAAGCGATTAAACTCTTTGGAAACTTCTGTTTCCTCGCCGCGAAAATTAAAGGACGCAGCACATACAGTCAAATGAGATGAGTAAGCGACTCAAAGCCATAACCAGAAGCTCACCTGTCCTCTTTGGGTCACCTTCACTTTCGTCCTCCATTTGTCTTGAGTGTCCACATCCTGGGCATAAATAAGTATGGCCCGTGCACTGGGGATTTGGAAACTCCTGGTGGCGTAGACCACTCCGTCACCATCTATCCGGAAGTCCTCCGGGTCGCCAGTCTTGAACCTCAGGCGTCTGCTTCTGCCACAGTCAACAAATTTCACTGGGGAATAGAGAACAAAAACACTGAGTGGAATTGATTCCACACAAATGCTTGGGGCTTGGGGGGGGGGGAGCATTTCAGGCCAAGGGGATCGTGGCTGGTGTGAATGTGCCATGTATCATTCCTACCCTGCTGAAGATATTATTTAAAACCGGCGAAGCGTAAAAACCAGAAAGGACACTGTGAGGGCCTTACACAGAGACCAGCGCATGCTAAACTCGGCATTCTGCTAATTACGAGTCCGGCTGCGGTTTCCGAAGCGATTCCGGGACGGGCCGGCTGGTGTGGACCCCTTCGAGACATAGCAGCGTCGTCAGGCCACCATCCCTGTCTCCCCCCTCACGGCCCTTTCATTCCCACGCCCCCCCCCTCTGCATGCCCACGTTCATCTGCAAGACTGGCGTCTACCAGGAGGACAAGTGGGTTTTTTTTTTTCTTTACGACGGAGCGTGTTTATTTAATTAACGATCAAACGACAAGGCCACAATGTAGTTTTGGGGCCCATGGAGCCACCCCAGAGTGGGACCGCGCCAAGATAATTACCGAACAGAACAAGAAATTACAGAGTGGGTGTCAGCCATCTGTCCGCTAGGCGGTCAGTGCCGGGAAGTCGTTAGAGCTCCCGGTTGCGTATTCATATTATGGTCATATTCCTACTGCTGTCTGGCAGTGAGATTATAAAATCCTCATAAAACAGAAACGCGTGCAGGAGAATCACAGGAGCCAATGGGCACATTGTGACTCGGGAGTCGGTAATTGTGCACTTTCTCGAAACGACCTTGTCAGACGTCAGTTCTGCCAGCTTCCCCGGGTCCCGGATGAATATGCATGCAACTTCTTTCAAAGACGAATGTGCCCCTGTCCATGTGCCTGGAAGCCGACTCTCAAAGTTCAACCTGAGCACCGGTAGGATCAGGGGGTCCTAAAAGGGTCCGGCGGCCGCTCGGCGCCGATTTCCATTCCGTAGGCGATCAATAAAGCTGGAGGGACGCGCCAGACGTATCCTATTCATAAAACATTTTAAAAAGAGGTCTGAAGGCACAGACACACAGAGCACAGTGCCCAGACCTGTCTCGGGGCACGGTAAGAACCAGCAAGAAAGCTGGAGAGGTGAAGATCAGTTTGCTCCAGCTTCTAAGCCTGACAGACATCCACCCGACTGCACAGAGAGGTCCTCCAAGAGCGTCCACCAAAAAAAAACCCCTTCATTTCAGTTTCTCCAGCAAACAGAGGCAAAGAAAGAGTTCGCAACTAATGAATATAGAGCCACTTTCTCCCAGCGTTCAATGCCAACCCAAAACAACACTTAAAAGGTATTGAAATGGAAAGTATTCTCTTGCTTCTCCAAGTGATGAATGGAAATGTAATTTCAGTTTACCTTATCACGGCGGAACAGAAAACCCTCCAAAGGCCCCGAATGCATCTTATTAAAGCTCAACTGAGGGACAGGGAAAAAAACCAGAGGACCTGAAACATACGGCTGATCCACCTGTTCTACTTAAAATTAAAAACGGAAACATAAATCACATTTCGACGAAAAAACAAATTTAAGGTCCAAGCACGATAGCGGGATGATAACTACATTATTTAAGAAAAAGGCAAACATTATTATTTAATCACGTATCCCAGGAAGACTGTAGCTGAAGGTGGTATTTTTCAGTGGGTTTTGATGAGTTTATGTGACATTATCCGCACGTCGCTTTGAAGAAGAGCGTCTACAACATTAAACGTCAATGTAATGCTACTTGTGTGCCAGTGATTTTAGGCACGCATGCGAACCCCTCCCCACGCTAAGGATGGTGACCTCATTCAATTCACCTGTCAGACCTTGGTATCCTCTTTCAGAGCACGTTCCTTTATCAGAGAGAATAAGCAGTGCCCAGCACTGTAATCCAACACAGCACCCATCGCTCGGAGGAAGGTGGGAGTGACTCAGCAGCATGGGAACAATGACTCATCGGCGGAGGAAAGATCTTGCTCAACTGTGTCTGACTGCAGTGCCCCAGTCGAGCTTTCACACATTAGCCCATGAGTTATGGCCTCCTTTATCCCACCAGCCCTGCTGGGTTGAGCAGCACAAGAGGGCGCTCTGGAGAGATCAGGCCACAGCTGTAGAGAAGCATTGTGTTTTGTTGTTGCCTAGGAGACGTATTCGTACCAGGCAGCTTGCTCAGTTCACACTTTCTTAAGGGTCCAAGCACATAAGATCTGCAGACGAACCAAAGACGTCGGTACTCTTTACTGTAATTCTGTCAGTACTGTTTCAGGAACATGATCCTACAAAAACTGTATTCCCAGCAGTACGAGTCAGACATCCTCTTGGGGTGCTTTTTATATAACAATTGGCATAATTTAACCATCTGTCCCAGGATTCATTGGGTATGAGGTAGGAGATACCCTGTATACGATGCCAATCTACTCCAGGGCATGCATGTGCACACACACACACACACACACACACACACACACACACACTGACATTGGCCAAATACCTACAGAGGCAGGATGGCTTGAGTGGACTCCTCCCATTTATTACCCAATAAAAAATATCTCCCTCCAAGTTTTTACCGAAGTCTGTCACCCAATGGTACAACGTCACCAACATCAGGGAGAAAGACCAGGCCACGGTTCTGCCATGAGTCTAATGGCTTAATCATGCAGGGAAACTGCTCTGGTTGCTGCATGATTTCCCACAGAAGCAGAAAATGAAAACAACACACTGGATTTACCACTGACAGAACGAGGCACAATATTTATTATCAGCAGATATAGAACGACAGAGGTTAGGTGGAGTCCGAAGGCATTTTTCTGTACATGATCATGTATCAGATCAATGCTAGAGCCCATTGTGTGTGTCCACAGCCCCGCCCTGGATGTCTGGTTCTTGGAAAACTGCCTTGGTGGGGGGTGGATACTGCAAGTACCAAGGTGATACAACCATATTGCGCCCAGTCTCACCTTTAACCTGGTACAGGGCGCTGATTCCAAACCCGAAATGTTCTAACCACGCTAAAAAGAGAACAAATCGCACCATCAGAAAACCAGAGAGCCAGAGCGCAGAGAGGGAAAGCGATGTTTTGCTGACAGCACAGCTTATAGAGAGTAAATATAATTCAGAGCGACACAGTCATACGTTGTTAAGAAATAAACATCCATCCATTCATCTTACCGGGTCATAGTGAGAAATACACACTCAGGTAAATATAAAATATGCTGTAAAATGCCAGATGCATTTCCATGCATGTGGTATAGCGTTACTTCTTTCCTACACTTCATTTATCGCTCTGTTTTGGCCCGTTAATCATGTAAGATGAGCTCAGCTCTGCACTTGTGATCCTAACTGGTTTGGCCATTTCCACGCCAGTTGACCCTCTCACAGGATGATCCCTTCACAGGCTGATCTCCTTGCGGGGCTGATCACTTCAAAGGCTGTTCCCATCACAGGCTGAAACCCTCACAGACTGATCGCCTCACAGACTGATCCCCTTACAGGCTGTTCCCATCACAGGTCGACCCAATCACAGGGCTGATACACTCACAGGCTGATCCCTTCGTAGGCTGTTCCGCCCAAAGGCTGATCATCTCGAAGGCTGATCGCCTCGCAGGCTCATCCTCTCGCAGGTCATTAGTCCGAGCTCTTTGCTGACTCGCAGTCCTGCATGTACAGACCCTCTGTGACTGACAATGGGTGCCCGGTTGGTTTTAGGGGAAATTTAATTACGCCGCCGCAGCACCTCTCCTCACCCGTGATTGCCCCGGTCTGGTTGCCTCGGTAACGGCCCCTCTGCCTTCCGGGGCAGAGCTGGTGCAACGGAACGCGTCGCCGCTCCGCCTCTGTGAACGCCGGCTGAGAGGGTTGGAGAGGATACAGCTGCCCCCGGCACCCCTCTCTCCCAGCTTTTGGAAATGCCTGAAGTGGCCCAGCTAGGCCCATTTTCACACCTCCAGTGGGCTCTTCAGTAGGTAATGGGGCAGCTTTGAATTAGTAAAACCCCCAAATGACAGGCAGGCACCCTGCGTTCGGGGGCCCCGTAGAACCAAGGGCCACAATCTAACCCCCAATCTCAAAGAACAACATCTTCTGTTCTGTTACACCAACAGTCACCAGGGTTAAACAGATGCATTCCCATATTCATTTGTTCTCCTTAATTGCCTTACATGGCTTGTTTTCCAGAAGCTATCCACATTACGGCCAGGCCAATGCCGCAGACATATCCCGCGGATTTAAATTAGCCCCGGTTCAGCGGTCGCATTCGAGGCCAAAACCCCCCGCGCTGAATGGCAACCTTTGAAGCCGGCTTTGCTCCGGCCGTCATGTGGCCTTGCAGAGTCAGCTTCCAACACAGAGGCGTGGAAAATGGGGATGAGACTAAAACCATTTCATACATGTGCCCCTGATGGCAGCATATGATTAAAAGAATGTTTCTCTATCAACTTCATTTGAGCAACACTGCTTGGCCTGTTACCACAAATGTACAGATGAGCTCATTTTATCGAACTCTACTTTTACAAAACAGCTATTTTCTCAGGTACAAGCTAGGAGTTTTTAATGATGTCATTCAGGAGGACGCCACACCTTTGAACACTTAGAGCCTCGCAGAGCCTCAGAATATATCCAGCTGGACCAGTCTGTTGGGACGCTGGAAAAATGCAGCCATGGAAAAAACATCAGTGAAATGAAAAGGAGGGTGTGCTTCCATCGTGATGAGGAATAGGAGAACGGCATGACAAGCCATCTGCTGATCACGCCTACAAACGCTCACGTTCTGTCACAAGTGTGTTCGGCGCCGGAATGGCGCCAGCCATGTTCTGCCTGTAGGGGGCGCACTTCAATCCACAGTTCCAACTGTTATCCTACATGTAAGAGAAATGCTCTCTGCTCCAGCATGATGTCACCTTTACCCAGCTGTGACTGGGAGAAGTTTGGGAGAAGATCAGGCGGGAGGGGAGGTGCAGCCGGCTCCAAGAAGGGTGTGAGAAGCGGGTCAATCCCGATTTGG